TTTATAAAAATAATTTATTATTTAATTATTTTAAAATTTTATGATATTTTTGCTCATTTTAAAATTTTTTTACCACCTGTCACATTAAATTATTTTTAGAATCTACTGAAGTAACTTCTTAAAATAAATAGAAAAATATTTTTTATTATATATTAATTTTTTTAAAAAAATTTAAACTAATATCATAAAATTCTCAAAATAGTTTCTTTTTGACCAAAAAGTAATTTTCCCATTAACTAAACTAATTTGTCCTTCAATTTATTTTTAGTTACGCAGAGGACCCTTAAATCAAGGATGACACAATTAAATATATTAAATTTTAAAAAATCTCAATAAACTAATTTTTTTTCTTACTCACATAAAATATAAAAATACCATTTCGTCCAACCATTGGGTGATTATTGATTTATTAGATTTTTTTTGCCAAAGATTATTAGATCATCAATGCTAGAGATATTAATAAATAATTAAAAATGTTATATTTATAGGTGAATATGTTTTTGACACTAGTTAATTTGTAAGTTAAAATACTATGATAAATTATTCTATGTTCCTTTGAAATTTGCAAGTCATCCTTTAAAAATTTGTATATCCCAAAAGTTGACTTATAAATTGTGTGAAGATTTTTAACCAATAATAATATTCAAATTATTAAATATTTTTTATATATTAAATTAAATTATTAATACTTTAACAAGATATTATTTAAAAATTAATATTTTTAATTAATTATTCATGCTGTTGCTAGCAATGGTAATATGATAGTTACTTAGTAGTCAATCAAAATGATGTGTTAAAATAGTATTTTCTAATGCTGGTAATTCAGGTTGGTCAAGTTTATTCAAGTCAAACTTATTTGTGTTGAGCTTGAATTATCCTCTCCTCTTAAAAACATATAGCTAAGTGTCACGGGCTTAGAGTCTGGCGTAGCACATGGCGCTCGTGCGGTGTCTCGAGGATCCCATAATTCTCGAAAAAAGCTTTACCACATACGAATCCTACTGGTTTCGCCCTGTCATGGGCTCATCAAGGAGGCGGCACTAGCCTCCGACCAGTTGTGCACTCAGCTCGAAGACTGAGGCAGAACGCACCCAAATGCCAATGTCACCCCTTTTATCCATATTATGTTAGGCTAACCAGCGGATCGTTCATTAAATTGGTCTTTACACGGTCACGAAGATATCATTCGTGACATTCTCCTATACCTAATCTAGCACGTCCTTGTGCTAGGGGAGAAAGACTCCGCCCAAGGATTGCACGTACATACTGCCACAAACACATCAGCTTACTATTGAATGGCTACCCGAGTCCAGCACTCTTCGAACCCACTCGCACCCACGAGCCAACAGGAGTGGAGTCGACCACTGCCAACTTTCCCGCCCGAATCCCTATTTTAGACCCACCTACACCTCGCAGGCCTACTGGAGCGGTGTCGAGATCAACTGGTCCCAACGTGGGACTTCACAAGCACATGACAGTAAAGTACGTCCCGCTCTGATACCACTCTGTCATGGACTTAGAGTCTGACGTAGCACACAGTGCCCGTGCGGTGTCCCGAGGACCCCATAATTCTCGAGACAAGCCTTACCACATACGAATCCTACTGGTTTCGCCATGTCATGGGCTCATCAGGGAGGCGACACTAGCCCCCGACTAATTATGCACTCAGCCCAAAGACTGAGGCAGAATGCACCCAAATGCCAATATCGCCCCCTTTACCCATATTGTGAGAGGCTAACCAGCGGATCGTTCATTAAATTAGTCTTTACACGGTCACGAAGATATCATTCTTGACATAAGTTTGACTTAACTTTTTTTGACTAGGTTTGAGTTAGCTCATCGGGCTTTGTCAAAATTGCCAACTCTCTCTATATATATAATTGAAAATTTCAATAGTTGAGCTTATTTAGGTCGGACTCAATTTGAGTCAAACTTATTCAAATTAGGTTTAAAGTATGATATCCTCTTAAAAAAGCTCTATATAAACAAGCCTAGCTCTAGCTTTTTTTAGGGTAGCTCGTCAAGCTTGACTTGAATTATTGGCTCTAACATTTTGATTTTTTATATTGGTGAGAAATAGCATTAATCTATCAAAATTTATTTATAATTAAGGAATTTAAATAATATTAATTTTTATATAGGATTTTTTTTATAATTTTTGATTAATTAATGGTCAATTGATGGATATTCAACGGACGGATGATATTGTTACGTTTTCTTGAATACATAAGAGGCAACATCACGTCACCTTGACTTGATGGTACTTAGCGCACTTGAAAAATAGTCGAGGCAAACTAACATTTTATCTTCTTTTTTGTTTTTTTAAATTTATGGGAAGGTAAAAATAATTGTGGGACAATGATTGATAAATCCTCTTTGAAGTAAAATAATAATAATTTGGTTTCACAAAATATGATAATTATAATGAGGTCTTAAAAGACTTCTTTAAAATTAAATTTATAAACAAAATTATTTTAATATCTTTTTACAATTTAAAAAGTCGTGATTTTTTAAATTATTTCAATCATTGGTGAAACTAAACTTGTAAATATTTATACTAAATTTATAAATGATATAAAATTAGTTAAATTTTGCTGATAAACAGTTATGATTTTTTAAATTGTTTTAGTTATTATTAGAATCAAACTTGTAAATATTTATATCAAACTTGTGAATCACATAAAATTAGTTAAACTTTATTAATTGAAAAAAATTACTGATAAAAATTTTTAATTTTTTAAATTACTTTAATAATTTATAAAACTAAATTTGTAAATGTTTATATCAAACTTAAAAATTATATAAAATTAATTGTAGAGAAGTACAAAAGTAATTTTATACAAAAATGTAACTTTAAAGTAGTCTCTTTAAGACTTTACTTGATTATTATATTTTGTAAGACTAAATTATCATTTTTTGATTTAAAAAGAATTTATCTACCATTTTCCTAACAATTATTTTCCCGTCTAGCATAAAAGTCCACATACGATTAGTTGTACGAGTTAATTTTTTTTTTTTGGACAAAGTGGTACCGGTTATTTACTTGCAGGAAAACTTTTTTTTTTTGAGTATATTATAATTATAATGTAAATAATTTTTGTGAAGGCAGACAATCAAGATTGATACTGGTGCTTTATTAATTTCTTAGCCTTGTGAAAAAGCGTGTAGAAGATGCTAGAATTGGCAAATAGTAGAGGAGATGCTAAAGGGTATTGACAATTGACAATTTTATTTTATGTGAAAGGCCTCGACAACAATATATTTGTGTGACAATGACTTGGGGCGACCCAATGCCCATAAGAAACTATAAAGCTCTTTTTTTTTTCCCCAAAGAAACCATAAGGGTATGCTTTGCTTTAATTTGGCTAACTAAAAAAAATAAAATTTTGGCTGAAGTTAGTTTTTGTTCTCTTATCTTATATAATATTTCACTTAATTTTATAAACTAGCTTTTTTATTTTTTAATGTCAACATCATTAGTTTTAAGTGATTATTTTTTGTTAATCATTGTTCTTTTAAAAAATCAAACATAATATGCTAACATTTAAAAATATTTTATTAATATTTAAAATTTTAATGCATGAATTTTTTATTAATAAAATAAATAATATTAAAATTAAAGGATTGAAAAAATATTTTATAAAATTAAATGATTAAAATAAAATTTGGTATAAAGATAAAGAATTAAATATACAGTATAATTTAAAATTTTTTTAATTTAAAAGATAAGCACTGCTATTGTTGTCTGTAGATAACTTTTTGGCAATTTTCAACAAGGGGTTGGCTGATTCTTAGTGGCTCAAGCCCACAAGTCTCTGTATACTAAAGTCATTGTATTTTTCAAGTCTCGTCCTTATTTAAAATTTGAATTATCCAAATATTCAATTTAACAAATAATGTCATCTTCATATATCACTTCAAAAAATTAAATAAACCAAACAATTTTACAAATGATATTTTGTAATATCAACAATTTCTTCAACCAATTAATTTTTTGACAATTTCTAATACAGAGCTTGTAAGAATGAGTTTAAGCTCCTTTTTAAAAGATTCATAAGAGTTTGGTCTCAAAATTTTTTTTATATGAAATTTTTCAATCTTTTCAAGTGTAACTCTGAAAAAATACCAATGCCCGGATAGTTTGAGGGTTAAGAGGTGGAGAAATGTATGATGAATGAAAGAATCATTGAATAGAGAATAAAGAATGAGGAGATGAAAATGAAAGAGAGAAAATAAACATGGAAATTGGAATGGTCAGGCAAAATACTAAGCGACACATGAAAGCCCAATCCTAAAATAAATGTTTCTAATCATGGCTTTCGTACCATGAACGACCACTCCTCCACGTGGCACGAGCTATCCTCTGCCACGGAAATTTGAGGTTCAGACAATTTTAGTTATCTCAATTCTATATTATATTATATTATGTATATATGTACATGGGCATATGTACAACAGAGAGTTTGAGAGTAAGTAAACGCGGCTTCAGTGCGTCTGAATTTTATTACAGGACTAAATCCTGTTTTCTTTCCTAGTAAAACTAATTCAAAAATTTTACCTCGGAAGTTGGATGGAATTTTTGTACATTCTCTTCATCAATTTTTAATTGAAATTTAATAAAATAAATTCGTTGACAAAAGTATATAATAATTATTGTTTTAACCTGCACGTTGTAATATGCAAAAAATCCTTGTTATATAAAGTCAAGATTATTTATTATATGAATACTACATATATATTTTTAATTAAATATATAAATTTATGGAAAAATATAAATACTCTATATCATTCCATTGATATAAAATAATATAAAAATATTGCTAATGTTAATATGTCACTAAAATAAAGTTTAGGATTAAAGATAATGGGATACTAGATGAGAAACCTTGAGGGGAAACCTGATATTGCCGGGACATTTATGCCCTTTAACTGGCTGGTCCGGTTTTGTGGTCAAAACCATGAAGATATAAGGGGTTTAAGGCCACTGTTGCGTGGTTTTTGAATTAGGTGGGTTTTGGGTTCTCTGGAACTGTTTCTCTTATTTTCTCCGAGCGAAACAAATAAAAAAGAAAGCTAATTTACAAATAATCCAACGCAATTTTGGGTCTTGAGATTAGATTTCACAGACTCACAGATCTCTTGTTTTTCTCCGCACTTCTCCCATATCGATTTGTTCTGCAAATGGTTCCCCTTCGAAATTTCGTTACTTGATCACAATTCAGCTTCGGATCATTGCTCGAATGGCGTTTCTGGATGAGGTAAGTTGACACGAAGGTCTCTTGCATCGCATGAATTTTCAATTGTGGCTTTGTTTCACTTTTGTTCCTTGTCTTCTGGTTGCGATCTCATGGTTTTTCTGAATATTTTGTCTTGATTCTGCAAAGAAAGAGATGAATTCTAGTAGCGTGTACCCAAAGTTTGTGTTTTTGGGAACAGTTCTCTATGAATTATCCTATTGACGTTCCGTAAAGATCCGATCGTGGATGCGAGGCTATTCATTGACGTGAGCAACTGATTCTTTGTCTGTTTCAGTTGGAGAATTTACATGTTGTCGTGAATCTCTCCTTTTCTTATTGATCGGAGTTTCTCTAGATTTATTCTGGTCCTGGATGCAAAATTTTGGGAGTTCGAGGACGTTGAGGATTAGAATTGGGTTGTTTATCATCGATTTTACGCATTTAATGCACATCAACTAGATGCAGCTTACAACTGTTTCTGTTTGTGCTTTTGTTGACTTTAATGATTCCACCACCATAGAAAAAGCTTGCTTTTTTCTGTGTTGTGCGTGAAATTTTATGCGATCCTTTGTTCATTGACTTCTCGATTTGTTTCTTGCGGTTCGTGGGTTGGAATTTCAGGAAAATGAGCTCTGGTTTGTTTGGCGCGTGAGCTTTTAATTGATCCATTTTTGGTTTGTAAGGTGTCGATTTGTGAGTTGTGTGTAATTAGTCTGTTTAGATTGTTGTATATTACAAAGGGACCAGCGTTCGTGGATAAAAAATGAAGTTGTTAGATTTATTTAAAATTTTGCCTTATTTTTACATCTTCGTTTGGGACTTTATTTTAATGAAATAAGCATTTTGATAAGATATTATATCATAGTTTAATAATTTTATTTTCTCGTGTTTTTTAATCTTCTTTTATGAATTATATATGCTTTTAATCTTCTTTAGGCCTCTGTCCAGTCATGGGCTGAGAAAGAAAACTGAAATGAGTCATTAGCTGGTGTTATTCACTGGATCTTGAGATTTTTACTTTTCTAATATAATCAATAGTGAAATGAAGTTGATGGATGGGTCTTTTTGATTTTTTTTCTCCTTTGGCAGTGAGGAGGAACCGGTGTATTGATTGTTCTGGTTATTCATTAAGCTTTATATGTCTACGCTATGGTGTGCAAGAAGAGGCTTGAATATGGATTCAATGGCTTTCAGGTGCCGTTTATTCCCAGAGCTCCTAGATCTGTAAGGGTAAGTGCTTGCTGTAATTATTCTTTAAGCTTTATATGTCTATGCTATGTTGTTACAATGTATTTATGCTTTGAACATTGTGCTAATCCCTGAAGTTTGATTAATTTCAGAGGAGGATTCTTTACAAGAAAGATGAGGAGGATGGTCAAGCTTGTGCTATTGAAGTACTGGCATCTTTAGCTGGCAAGTTGTTGCAAGAGAGTGAAAGTTCAGCTTCTAGCAATGCGTCAGAAGGAAGTCACCAGCCAGCCTCAGGCCAAGGTGCTGTTGAGCAGGAAAGTCAAGATGAAGCCAAACTGTTAGCACCAGAAGGTGTTCATCATGGAAGTTGTGCAGAGAGCGCGTTTATGACTGAGGTAATCTCACGAAATTCTAGTCAGAAGTTTCGGGGCCAAGCTGAGACTGATGCGGTACCAGAATGCACTTCTATTACTAATCCTGCTGACTGCTGCAAGAAAATTGAACCTAACATTAAGCCTGAAACATGCAAATGGGAGGATCAAGTTGAACATTATTCCAGTAGGTTAGCAGAAGCACCCCAAAATTTTAGGGAGTCTTATAATAATGGTAATATAAACAATGGCTTTAAAAGGGAACAAGAAGCTGGAAGTTCAGGCATCGAGGGACCAAATGTTGCTGATAAACGTAGTTTGAAGGATCCTTTGGAATTAGGAGTTAACTCTCATGCAATGAGTAACTCAGATAGTAAGGTTAATAAATATCCATTCTCTAAAGGAACTTTTCCAAATAGTTCGTTTTCTAACTATGGAAATAATATTAAGTTAGGTTTTAGAGATGATGATGAAAACTTTATAAGGTGCAACAAAATTAGCACCAAATCAAAGGCTTTTAAGCCTCCACGTCGGATTGCACACCGAAGAATTAGGAAGCTCATGACTTCCAAATACTGGAAGGCTGCTCCGAAGTTGAAGGATTGCGAGCTTTCCAGATCTGGTGAGGTTGCTTACAAATTGTTTTTGCATCCAAATGCTTGATTATTTGATGCAATCAAATGCTGTGAGTTTTTCAACTGAAAATAATGTGTAATTTGCAGATGCTGGAGAAAAGCCTCTTTTTCAGAAGAGGAAGGCTTGTCACAGTTTTGAGAGGGGTCATTATGGTACTCTTTTCAAGAGGAGAAAATTCTCTAATCGGGCTTCAGGCCTGACATTTGATGGAGGATTCAGTAGTGAGAGCATATCTAATTCACTCGAGAAAGGAATAGATAGCAACAATCCTAGCTCATCTTCAAAGCAGCACGAATCGAAGGATTCTCATGGTACTTTGTTATGAATTTTCAGTCATTGTTCTATTTGTTTGTTCTTTGCATTCTATCATGTTTATATGCCATTTTTATCTTGTGAACAGTGAAGTTTAGCATTAAGTCTTTCAAGATACCAGAGCTTTATATTGAGGTTCCTGAAACTGCTACTGTTGGTTCTCTAAAGGTATGAATGCAGGCGCTATTTTAACAGAAATATAAATTTCTGAAATAAGTTTTATCTGCACACTAAAGTGGCATTATCATATTCTTTTCTGTTCCACGGCAGGAATTTTCTATGATATGTTCTTCGACTGGTTTACTATTTTACATAACTAGTAGCATTCGTTGTGTGTTTGCCTTTTCTCTCCCCTAAAGTAGGATCTTTTAACTAGTCAGTTATTGCGCTGTTATCATCTTCTAACTTCAGCCTTGTCTCTTCCTCTAGAGGACAGTCATGGAGGCTGTGATGGCAATACTTGGGAGTGGAGTGCATGTTGGTGTTGTTCTTCAGGGGAAGAAAGTTAGAGATGACAACAGAACTCTTCGGCAGACTGGTTTATCATGTGAAGAAAATATCGATAACCTTGGTTTCACATTGGAGCCAAGTTCCTTACAAGGCTCTCCATCTGTATGTGTTGGTGATCCTTCTTATCATGAACCATCCCATTCAAACAGGTGAGGCAAACTTGGTGGTATGAATATACTGTTATTTGTATTCAATTGCACTCTTAGCTTTATTCAATATGGCTAACATTATTATCATTTGATTGATTTATTCTTCTAGGTCCCCTAGAACTCCTGTGTTAGATTCAGGGATTACTGACATCGTACATGACTCACCCTTGCTGACTACTCTGAGCAACCCTATTGAAAGTAACCGTGGATCAATTTCTTCTCCCACCACTGACATAATGACTGACAAAGTAGCACCAGACTCCAAATCTTTAGTAGTTGTTCCTGATAGGAGCACAGAACCACTGGCTATAGTTCCAGCGACTCAGAAAACTAAGCGCTCTGAGCTTGTACAGCGTCGAACCAGGAGACCCTTCTCAGTGTCTGAAGTAGAAGCACTTGTTCAGTCTGTTGAAGAACTTGGAACTGGAAGGTCTGATGTTTTGTTTATGACCCTTTTTTTTCCTATATATTGTGGATAGGAGAATTGAATTGCTCATCTTTACCCTGTGCAGGTGGCGTGATGTTAAGTTGCTTGCTTTTGAAAATGCGGACCACAGGACTTATGTAGACCTGAAGGTGTACATTTTCTTCCTTACTTGTTGGTTACAATGCAAGGATAGTACATGACATGTGGTATTTTAAGTTGATTCATTGCTTTCCTTATGCTTGGTTCACATGACAATTCTTTCTGAGCAATGCATCCGGTTTCATTCTATTCGATGATTTTTACAGTTTAGCATTACACAATTGTTCATTCTGATTTTTCTCAAGAATAATCTATTCACCTGCACCTGCTGAGTTTTTATTGGGAGACCTTATAGCAGATACCTAAAATCATCTTTGTCAATTTTAATCCTCTTCATCGATGCAGCTGTATAGTTAGACATATTCTTCTCTTCATACTCCAACCCCTTGTCTCACTATTTCTTTTTGTATATGCATATACAAGTTTTGGGTGTTAAGAGTCTGAATTCTCTGCAGTCAAATAATAATGTGGTAAGAGAAAGAATGAGGCAAGAAAATGTGGTTGTTTGTATGATCCATGTCTTATAATCACACTCTTCTATTCTCTTCACTTCATCTCTCTCTCCGAATGCACTATATACATCAGGATGCACACTGGTGATAAACTCACTTTTGTGAATGCAGTAAATCTGGCGAGCATGTGTGTTTTGAGACAATCAATGAAGAGATTTTTTTGTGTGGCATATGTTTGGCTTATGTTGTTTTTGTGTTGACTGGGATGATGCAGGACAAATGGAAAACGCTAGTGCACACAGCAAGAATATCTCCTCAACAGAGAAGAGGAGAGCCAGTACCTCAGGAGCTGTTGGACAGAGTGTTGTCTGCTCATGCTTTCTGGTCACAACAGCAACATGGGAAGCATCATCATCAACTTCCAGGGACTCCCGACAAGGTCAAAGAATCTTCTGCTCCTCCTCCTCAATTTCTCAGTGTCGTTGTTGGTGAAGCTGGTGGTGTCAGTGTCATCCAACCCGTTGGGACAATGTAAAAACAAAAGGATATAAAAAGGAATATTATTAGTGGTGACACAGGTAAGGAATTAGAGGAGGACTGGGAAAAAAAGCGAGCCAGAAGAAACCTTTCTGTACATTTTGATTCAATTTCATGTATTATTCTCACACCACTTATTCATTGCCGACCCCTTTTAACTGCGATTTGCTGGTTGGCTTTTTTGTAAATGACTTGTTCAAATAAGATTGTTTCTACACCATCTTAGAATTCTTTCTTTGTTGGACTTGTTTTATTCTTTGCCTTGGAAGTGTATGTAGTCAGAACTGTCTGATAATAGACTTGACATGTTAACGCTCAACAAAGCTTATTCTTTGCTTCTTCTTCATGTTACCTTTTGCCTTTTGGGATTTTCTAGATTGATGTCTGTGAAATTGAAATAATGACATTTTTTTAAAATTCATAATTAATAAAAAATTAAATTTTACTTGGATTCTTTGTGAAAATCTTACCTGTCCTTTGCCTGATGTATTTGACTATTATTAATTTCATCTAAAAATTTTTAAGTTTTGATATGACTACCAACATAGAATAATTTGTAGAAAACATTAATTTCTTTTGAAAAATAAAAATGGTATATGTAATTTATGATAAGAGTCATGTTGATTATGAGTTATCAAACAATAGGACTCATCAGAATATTTAAATGAAGGAAGATTGATGAAAATAATTAACTAGAGAAAATGAAAAAGAATCAAATTGGAAAGGCGCGTGATTAGATTAGTTTAGATTTTGAAATGCTGCGGGAGCATGTTGTGCCATTAATGATGGAAAAAGAGTAAAGAAGGTTATTATATTAATATAATTTGAAAGCTTGGATGATGGAGATGAGATGAATGAAAGGAAAGAGGAGAGAGAGGAGGGTGTGGGGTGAGTTTTATTATTGGATGAAGACAAAAGCTGAGTTGACGGTGGCCTTAGAATATTCTCTCTATCCTTTGGGATCCTTATCCTCACGAATCCCCATGTGCCTTTACATCCTAGGAGAAAGAATTAATGATAGTTAAATAATTTTTTGATAATTTTTTAAAATAAATTATAAATAATATCAACTTTAATTATTATAAATTCATGAATTTTAATTATAAATAAAATATTTAAATTTTAAATATAACTCACAATTTACCTAAAAATTTTATTAGAGGCTTAATTGTTGTTAATTTATTTTTGAAACTTTATTGATATTGTCCCTTTTTCATTTGCCAACACCAGAATTTTTTCATATTTCTTGAATTTATATTTATAATTCAATTACAATCTTGATGGTTATAAAAATTTATTTTATGTAAGATAATAATATTATAAAATTATTTTATTTTGAATTTCATATAATAATTAAATTAATTTTACTTTTTTTTTTAAGTAAATGTTACCCGTAGAGCGTGAAAGATGGTTTCGGTGTTGTGACATTGATCTCATCAGTGTACGAACTGCGAAGTTATTGTGTGAAATGGATTAAATCTCTTACTTCAACTTACACGACACATCAAATAATCATACTAAGAGTACCGTACGGTGTATCTCTGTTGATTGTGTCGAAAAAGAAGTTGTACTTGAATTCTCATGAAGCCAACTCGCTTTCCCGCACAGAGGAAAAAAGAAAAGAAGCCTAAAAATAAATTAAACTATAGATATTTATGCTTTTGTGAGATTATATTTAAATCTTAAGATAAACAATTTAAATATAAAGGAAGAAAATTTAATCACGTAAAAATTTTATACACACATATATATTAATCCCATACTTTTTTCAGTTATTTTTAAGAAAAAATAATTCTTAATCTTTAAACTTTTTTAAATTATCAATTTAATCTTTAAATTTTAACTTGTGAAAATGTAAAATTACAGTTTCTTGATTCAGAATTCAATCCTTGTAGTTTTGGGGGTCCATTAACTCCATTCTTATGATTTTTAAACGCAATGAAATATAAAAATTAAGTCCTATTGAATGAAAATTAATTGACTAAATCAATATTGGCAAGAAAATTCAAGACCAAAATTATATTATGGTTTATTTTTATGATTCACCATTTCATTTCATTCCTGTTCGGGAAAGACTTGTCACAATCAATATTTTTTATTCGTAAATATTTGGGATTGAATGTCAAAGGAGGGAGTTGCGTCGGATGGAACCTCACGGAATGCCTCATGTCATCCTTATCTCATCCTTTGAGTGTTCGGTCACCCCAAAATTCCCGTCAAAATAATCAAATCAAATATACTGTCTTTGTATTATTTTTTCATGTTTATATATATATACGGGGAGGGGGAGACACACACACCCACAGAGAGAGAGAGAGAGAGAGTGATAGAAGAGGCAGGTTTTGGGTCCAAAAACATGCAATTCAATTAATATTAAAAATTTGGAATGAACAATCGAAATTCCATTGTCGTCTAGTCCGGTTTAGGATACCTGGCTTTCACCCAGGCGATCCGGGTTCAAATCCCGGCAATGGAAAGTCTTTTGTTGTGAAGTTTTTGTCATTAAGTAATTAAAGCAGCTGATTTGGATCATTGATAAACAAGATAACATAATATATTACTCTTTTAAGCAATGCCAGTTGATCAAAGAACATGATTTTAACCCATAATCCTGTAACCTAATAGCATGTAGATACCTCTATAAGTAAAAGGTTATAGTTTGGTCTCGCTTGTAAACTTAAATTCCTATCCCTTTCATTTAAAAAGGAACAGTATTTTAGTTTTATAAGAAATGCTTCAAAGTAGTAGTAGGATCTACTTCTTTCATGCTTCAAAGTACATCATATTTTGTGTTGTTAGGTAGAAAAAATGAGTTAGGTGATAAGAATCACGTTCTGGCAGTTGCTGAATTGCTGATTATATAGTAGTGGCGCAGCATATAACATTTCATTTTTATTCCATGACCTTATGATTTGTTAGGTTATATGATGAATTGATGATATTTTTAATAGCAACAAAGACAGAGATATGGGGATGGAAAGAGAATGACACAGAAAAATTATCGCTATATGTCAAGTTCGCATCTTATAATTATATTTCTTCATTTATTTTCGCTTATAGTTAATTTTGTAAAGTCAGCGGATTTGTAAAATTTGTGGGCTATTACCATATTCTTGTAAGAAATTTTTATATGGATTTCGTGTACAATATTATCTTCCGGTTATATTTTAATCAATAAAACAGTATAGCATAAAAATGAAAAATTGAATACATAATAATAGTTATATTAATGAATACCATGGAAACATTTTACTTCACTTCTTGTAGTCGCTATTTTTTAATTGTAAAGTTATAATTAAATTTTATTAGAAAGCAGTTTTTTAATGAAGTAATTTTATTATACGTCCTTTTGTTTCTTGAAAGAATGAAGGTTGTTAAAGCATCTCATTCTTACGCTATTCAACTAAATTTTCAAGTAACAGCAATAGTAATAATTAATATAAAATTTAAAATTTATAGTCAAATATGTTACTAATAAATCATAATATGACTCATTCCTCATATTTCATGTCGCGCTTACTTTCTAATTTCTAATAATAAACTAAATATTGCCCCATTACAAGGTGTGGAACTGAAGTATGAATATGATACCCAAATAAAATAGTAAATTTTGAATAACAATCAAGAATTTTTTTCTTTTTGCAGGATTTTTATCCCAAGAAATCAATTCAGAAAATTTTCATCTAATTCTATTAATGAATACTATGAACGTAATAAAAAACAGATCAATCATTGAATAGATCAAGATATTAATTCAAGAATCAGTGATCCAGACCATAATGAAATTGCGATTAAATCAGCTGTGGACAAAACATTTTGTTGAAGTGATTAAAACTTTTTGGAATAGGAAAAAATGTTAGATAACAAATAAATGACAATTGAGATTAACTCATCCCACAAGGATGTCGTGAGATGGGAGTAAAATTTAGGGAGAATTACTAAGGTCCAACATAACATAATTAAATTCTACAAATCCATTGACAATTAAGGAAAATGACAACTTGTTTACCCTGCTGTCAATAAGCCTCACAGTATTTAAATGTGTTAAGTGAAACTTGTATGTAATTCTCCCTAACTTATAGAGTTCAAACCTCTTCTAATGTAACCAAACAAAAAAAAAAAGATAAATAACAAAGTTCTCAACTTAAAAACAGTGGAGAATGAAATATTATACAAATGATATCAAAAATTTAATATCACCCCACTTGATAATTCATTTGGTTAGAATATGCGAGCTCACATAAATACACTACTTCAAGCTTAAGCAAAAGCAAGAAGCAAGAAGAGAAAAATAAAAGTTACGGATTAAAAAAAAGAATAAACTAAGGCTATGTGTTCCTGTTCAGAAAAAATACAATACAGCAATGGGTAATCAAGTCAGCTATAATGTATACTGAAGTTGATAACTGCGAAGCCAATCTTCACCCTTTTCATAATAATCCGTCCTACTGAAAGTTTGCGTATGGAACAGAGAAGATGAGGCATATGCAGAAGCCCCCCTCCATGCATCCAAAACTGGATCCAGTGCTCTAACTATTTTTATAGGTGATCCGCAGGGTCTTATCATCCTAATCCCAGCTTCAAGGCGTTCAATCATTCCAGGAAACAGAGAACTTCCACCAGTCACAAGTATGCAATCGGTTAGTCTCTCTTCCAAACTTTCATCCTTGTCTGGTAACCTCCTTATTGAGACCCCGGCCATCTCGTCTAATCCTACCTGATCAACCCCAATCCAGTTTGGATTGAACAAAATCTCAGGGCATCTGAATCTTTCGACCCCAAGAACAATCTGGAAATCCTCTTTGGTGAGAGGTCGAAAACGTGGCACCTCAGCAGATTGTGTGTTACCAGTTTCTAACTTGGGTACAAATGTTGGATCCAAATCCTAACAAAACAATTCAGCAAATTTTTTTCTGCCAGTTATGCATCAAGAGTCATACAATGTAATCTTTCACAAGCATGAAATCATGCACTGCCCATAGTATTAGTTTTCTCCTCATAAAATAAGCAAAACTAACCTGGAGCCTAGAAGAGATGCGAGCCAATTCTGCCTCATCCTCATCAGGTCCCTCATCATCATCGTCATTATCTCTACTCATCAATTTGTAAAGTTGCCAATCTTCATCTCTGGCGCCAAATGTATCCTCACCTTTACCACGATCAAAGGCTGCAGTTGTCAACAGGCGCATTCTTTCCCTTTGAGCAGCATTTAGCCTCTCA